CACCTCCGCTCCCACACAGGCGAGCGGAAGTACCAGTGCCCCGTCTGCGGGAAGCTCTTTCTCCAGTCCTCCCACCTGGTGCGCCACAAGGCCATCCACACCGGCGAGAGGCCCTTCAAGTGCGAGGACTGCGGCAAGCTCTTCGGGCGCGCCTCGCACCTCGCCACCCACCGCCGGGTGCACACGGGCGAGAGGCCCTACAAGTGCGTGCAGTGCGAGAAGGCCTTCACGCAGAAGGCCGGGCTGGTCCTCCACATCCGCCTGCACACCGGGGAACGGCCCTACAGGTGCGACAAGTGCGGGAAGAACTTCCGCTCCTCTGCCCACCTCGTGTCCCACCAGCTTCTTGAGTCAGGCGAGAGGAACTTCAAGTGCTCCACCTGTGGGAAGGCCTTCAAGCAGGCATCGTCCCTCAAGCAGCACCTGAAGACCCACGAGGCACGTGAGCCTCACCGCTGCTCCATCTGCAGCCGAGCCTTTTCCAGGTCCTCTTACCTCCAGCTTCACATGAGAACACACAGTGGGGAGCGGCCGTACCACTGTTTGCTTTGCAACCGGACATATGCCAAAATTTCTACCTTTGAAAAACATTGTAAAAAGCACCAGCAGGATGAGGAAAGGTCTGATGTTAGACCCAGGCCAGTGACCACCAGGGCAAAAGCCTTGGCTGAAAAGAAAAAGCAGGAGCAGAAACAGCAGCAGTGTGACCGAGAGGACAGCCTTGAGCAACCTCTCCAGGCTGACCCGAAGCAGTAGCAGCAACGCCAGGTAGAAAGGCTGTAAAAGTCACTAAAACAAGAACTGTTCCTGGCCTTCCACAACATGGCTCACGAGAAGCAGAGCGTCTGGTTTAATTTGTATCAAAAGACAATGGCATGCTGCACCAGCATTACTCCAGAGCCTGATTCCAAGTGGAATTCTTTCTTTGACACAAGGTTCAATGTAAATGCTTCTTTGAGGTGCAGGAGATAAGTAAAAGTTGCTGAGGCTCCCTGTAGTCGGTGTGGTGTGCAGGACCCTCCATGGTTACAGGAGGATTCCACGCAATGCGTGGACCCTGCTGGTTTCATTTCACGTCAGCAGCGTTTTCTAACACAGACGCTCAGGGCTTCCTGACCAAGGCCCCTGCTTTTACCCAGATTGAAAGACCGATGCTTCTTTGTACGTGGAAATAAATTAAATTGTAGTCTCTTAAACGAAGTCAAAGTTTTAGTTTGAAGAGAGAAAGAGAGGTGGCGCACCTACAGAAAACAGATTTGTACCAACAGTGGGTTTAGGAAGCAAGCAGGAATTTATCCTGCAAAGTGCAATTTGTTTTTAAAAGCACTGTATGTAGCGAGAAGAAAGCATCTGTGAGCCTTTTCTGGTTTTCTCACTGTTGATTATAACCAGGCATTGTACTTAGCATCCAGATAACGCTGCCTATGGAGTGCACGTAAAGCACGGCGGGTTTTATTGCCAAAGCAACTTAACTCACCTTTCTCAAAACTAATGAAGACAGGTGTCAAAAGTGTGCAATTCATCTTCAGTTGAATGAGTTTGACAGTTGAAATACCAGCTTGTAGGAAAGGTACAATGATTTTAATTTTATTTTTTTTTACCTGATTTTTGGGGAATGTAAAATGTAGCATCAAGGGAGTCCTAAGCCCCGTCTCCATCTGAATTAACAAGCGGCTGTAGCTGGTTCCCTGGCCAGTCACCACGTGGGGGAATGAGGCAAGATGCCACAAAAGGGTTGCTGTCGAAGCAGAATGTTTCAGATTTATTCTGGGGTGCGAGATCAGGCTCCAGTGAGTACTAAATAACTTGGTAAACATTAATAAAACTGCCCTTATTGCAGCAATGTTCTTTATGAGCCAGCACTTTGTCCTGACTTTTTGTAAGCTTTACGTCATTCCAAAAACAGTATGAGGCTACTTTACAGCTTTATTTATTGCTTATTGTTACCCAGGAAATTACTCTCGCAGAAAAAAGGAAGCAGTGAGTTTGTTTTAAGTGCACATTCCTAATTTTCTGTACCAAGTTCCTGATCTTTTGTAACGCAGTTTCCCTGCAATTGTGTGAAAACACAGATTATGCACTTTAAGGATCTTTTTGGATAGGCTTCTGGTTTTGGTTTCTGTAGCATACTCACAACGCTGTTTTAAAGTGAAAAGTTGCACATTTAAAGCATTGCAGTGTATCCGGCCAGAAACGTTGGTAGGTGATAGAGCTGCATCACATCTGAAAACTGATTTACAGCTAACAAAACTGCAGTGAATAATTCTCTGACTTGTTGCACTTCAGGATTTACTTGATGCTGGGTGTACAAAGATACAATTGTTACTGTTGAACTGATGTTTCTATTCAGCTGTTTAATCTACTTCAAATATTTACGTGGTCAGATATTTCAAATAAGATGTTTCCTAAGCTAGAGTTTCTTGTCATCACAAATTCTAATGTCAATTTTTGCTACAGTCTTCAGATTTTGTTTTGTGACCAGTTGTGTTGTTTAGGAGGAACTAGACACTGGGGTTTATTTCCAGTTCAGTTATGCCAGTGCCATATAAGTAGAGTTCTATCTTTTTTGTATTTCAATACATGTTATTAAAATAATATACACCACCGTCTTTTTCCTTTTTAAAAAAAAAATCCTGTTATCACCTAAACAAAAGTTTGCTTACGGAAGTGAAACACATTTGCTGATTTTCCAGCATTCCTTAAAACTTCGCTGCAAAGGTAACTGCAAAATGAAGATTTGTCTTTATTTCTGGCATTTTTCTCTGCCAAACGTGGACAGCAGTGCTGTGGTGGCTGTGTCTGTACAAAATTTCACATCAAAACTTCAGTAGCAAGAAGATAGAAAAGTGGCCTTGTAAAGATCAGTTTTATGCTGCTGCTTAATAGTTTTGAAGGTGGTTTGGTTTGGTTTGGTTTGTTTAAAAAGCTTCCCATTTTGCTCTTCTGGTTTCCTGCTCTGTCAGCTGCCGTCCCCCTGCAGTCAGAAGTCCACAGTGTTCAGGACGCAGGATGAACTCGGACTTTGGACGATGAAATCCAGCGTCGAGAATATTTCAGAATGGAAAACCTGAAAATACGCTGTGATGCGCTGACTGTGGCAGTGCAGTGCAGGCCAGGCCCATCCTTTCGATTTAAGAGCTGGTGGGGGGAACAAGTTCAATCCATGCATCACTCACAGAAATGCTGCCACTTTCTTTTGAAATGTATTTTTCAACCTAACGTGTTGAGGGAGCAGGACTGTGCTTCCGTGTCACGACTGCCAGGATGGAGGGGCACCTCTCGGTGCCATCACGGCTCGCAGTGGAGTTTGGAACGCGTGGGAGACGCGGCCCAGCGATGCAGTGCTTTGTTTGCTTGCTTTCCCCCGTCCAGCAAGGTCAGGAATGTTCCTTCTCTGGGGTTTGTAAAAGTCAGCATTGGATCTGTGGATGATTTGTGGAAAAAGCATATTTTGTTTTTAAGATAAATTCTTTTTCTGGCTGTCAGCACATGAACTCTGGTGCTGAATGATTCAGCCTGAATGCACATCCCATTGACAGTTAACAAGATGAAGAATATTTTTGTAGATGTGCTAACAGCAATAATTGTCACTCCCGCTAAGATTAGATCCTACATGGAGGAACATCTTTGTGGGGTTCTGTCAGTGCTCTTCTAGTGCTGGTACCTTTGAGTCTGCTCCAGAGAGAGTTCCCAGATGCGGTTCGCCTCTAATTATCTGGGGACAGAGTAAAAGTTCAGTCTCATCACCCAGAGGAAAAAACAGTGGCAGCATTTTAAATTATGAAAACGTAATTCAGTAGAGGTACAGTGCAGCATGTGTGTACTACATCTGCCCCCACCTGTCATTTTCTAGCTTATAACCTAATTTGAGTTTGTTAAACATCTCAGGCTCCTCCTGTCATTGTACTGCTCTCTCTTTCACTTTTAGTACTGTTGATAAGTAGTTCTTGTACTGACAGGGCATTTAATATTAAGAAACCATCTATTGGTGCCCTTGTGGGTGGAAAATTCACTTGCATCCTCTGCTATAGGGAGTGAAAAGCGTAACTGACAGATGTGTCCAAACCTCAGGTAGGTGCTGCTGGCGTAATGCTGCTGGTTCATCCACAGGGAGCTCCCCAGGACCCTGAGGGTCCCACGGTGCAGCCCCCAGAGCTTCGAGCTACCAAACCTGCTTTTCTGCAGGTTGTCACATGCCAATCTGCACTGATGACAAAAATGCGGATTTTCTGATCTCTTCTGGCGTTGATGCAATGTGAGATCAATCTAACAAGTGCCAGTGAGGTTTGCGAGCACACAGAAACCCCTCGGGTATCCAGCAGGCTGATTCTTTGGCTGAGATGGGGGCATAACTCAAAATTATTTTGTAATGCCATTAGCTTATCACCATCCCTTCCTGAAGAGTGAGCTATCCCTGCCAGAGCCTAAAAACCAGCGGTGTCAGGACTGGCACTTTGAAGTATCCTGGCTGTCATTGCTGGGAGGTTAGCGAGTTGCTTAAGCCTTCTGAGCCTCCTTCAGAACTGGCTGTGATGTCAGCCTTGCAAAGCTCTGACACCTGCTCCTTGGTCAGCACCAAGGCTTGAGGGATGTTCTTTTTTTCCCCAAAAAGCCTCACCACACTTCTGAGCCCCACACAGCACTACTCAAACCCCTTGTTGGCATGGCAGCATCCTTTTTCTTGGCTGGACACAGGGGGCTTGCATGATCCGTAGAAATGGAGAGGTGCTGTGGATCGCTGCCTGTGCATGCGAGGGCGCTGCATGGTGAGGTGTCAGCAGAGCCTGCTCTGTGTCCCACTGGCTCTGTTAGCGTTCAAGCCAGACATTACACCTATGCCTCTTTGCTGCAGCAATGCTGTGCAGAGCCACTGAAAAGGCTCGGTCTTGGGGAGGGATTCCATGTGAGCACTGCTGGTGCAGTGGGGCAGACAGCAGGTGGGATTTGGAGACCTGCCAGACAGCCTCACCTGCAGAGACTCTTGTGCTGAAGCATCAGACCCCTCTGCTGAACTCAGGTTCAGGCTCCAGAGAGGGTGATGAGAGTCACATCTACCTTGCCTGGCCTTGAGGACGCTGGGACAGACAGTGTCCCCATTTCTTGTCCTCACATGCTGCATCAGGTCCATACAAGTGTTGGAAACAGCTGAACCGAGAGCTGATGATGATGATAAAAATGTGGTGGAAGTAACTTGGATCCTAAGCAAGTAAACAGCAAATGAGCACTATCCTGGGATTGCAAAACGTGGTTTTTTTTTTTTAATTCGAGATGGAGTACAAGATGTTGTCGTTCTTGTATGCATGTCTTTACCTGAATGTCCCCTTTCACAGCCTGGGAGAGGCAGATGGTCCCTGCCTGAAGACATGTCGTTCTGCACATGAGATCATTGTGAAATGTGGAATGAGGTAAAAACTACAAGAACATCTGCCGGCATCTTTGGTGTGAATTTGTCACTGTAGATGTTGCTAGCCATGAATGCCTAACTCAGAGCATGGCTGAGCGGGATGGCAAGTGCAGACTGAAAAAGGCAGGAGCATAGGCTCCGGGAAGATTTTCCTAGGTTTAGATTTGGCTTTGCAGAGGCTCAGTGCAAGCCCCTGGATGACCCTGGCAGCAGCGGACACATCCAGAACAGCAGCGGTCCCACAGAGGTGCATTGCACTCCTTTGGCCTCGCATCTGCCAGTTTGGGCAGCCAGGTGGAGCATGGTGGTGGTGACAGCCTTGAGCTGTTTGTCCAGCCACAGTGATGCCAGG